CCCGTGGCAAATGTGCCCGGATGGACCTCTGTTCTCGTTGCGTTGTGCCACTTGTTTGGCTCGCCTCACTCATGTTGCATGTCTGCGTCAACAATTGTACTTTCACCTGGTCGAATTGGAACGCCGTTCTGGCGCCCGATTTGAGTCTGCCGAATCAGATATTGATGTCCGGAAATTGGACACGATGTGTCTACCCACAGTCACATATGAACCGGGAAAAGTGTACACATTGCACCACACTGTGTCGGTGTCCACGGACACTACCTCACCTAACGGATGGTGCTTTACTTGTGGTATGCATCTGAACTCTCAGTGTACTAAAAGTACTACTTCATCGTAAGTTTTCCCCCGCGACAGGCTAAATTCACATTTGTCCTGTGTCGCGTTTTGATAACACACGGTGATTTCCACTCCTCAATGCGGTAATAGCATGATCGATTGGATTGGATTTGCTCTACCGATGGGCTTGAAGTGACTGTAAACCGGGCAAAAAAATCCACATGTTGTGTATCAAACTGAAATGGCATACCTGTTCGTCAACCCTTGGACATAAGTGGTATGCGTGCTATAATGATAGCTTAAAATATTCGACCACAGTCACCTCAATCATCACCTTTTTTACTTCCACAAAAATCAATAATTTATTTACACCAACACTACTACTGACAAGTAACTACAAACGAAATGCGAAAACATAAAATGGATTGTGGCCGCTATTGGGATTTGGCGATTGATCGTATTAGTATGTGCTAATTTCATTGCATATACTACGTCTGTTCACATAATTATTTAGAGTAATCAAATATCGTTATTGTCGTTTATTGCAGTTAGTCAGTCAATCAGTTATGAATTGCTTTATTCATCCTTACGGATGGATTTTCGGCTCAGTGTACACCAGCGTTATTTATCATCGTATACCGTCACAGAGAATAAGTAAAGCACAGTGTCGGTAACACAAGAGAGAAAGATGGCGTAAAAATGTGAAAATGTATATCATTTACCTATGCATTTTAAAAAGTTGTTTCTGACGGATGCGTTCTGTGCCAGAAATCTAGAAAGTTATAGGATAACAGACAAGCGGTCGGCGGATGGTACGAGTACACACACGAATTTATAACGACACCTAGTTACGTAAGTAGATACACATTGTTTAAGTTCTTAGTGTCGGCAAGTGTAAATATGGAATACTTCCTGTGCATAAAATAATTTGAACAGAAAGGCGTAGAATGGTGTAGCCTTTAGCTCTAAGGCGGGCAAATAAAACTTTGCTTTGGACCCTGTGGTCCGAGTTTCGAATCCCGTCCCGCCACCCAATTTTGGTGGCAGACGGCTTTGCTGCCTATCTTATCGGGGCCTTATATGATTCGCAACTCCAAGTCCTGTGGCTTAGGTTACCGGTTTCCATCACTGAACAGCAGTTCCTCGTGACTATGGGGCACATAATGGTGTGATCAAAAAACATGTGAATGACAACACAAGAATATGCAAAGGGGGTGAGTAAATATCATGGAACTGTTGAAACGTTGAGTTGAACGAACGATCGGACTAGCACGAGTCGTGACGAACGATACGTGCGGCAGCAGAAACCCGCGAGGAAAACGATACGACCCAACGGAATACTAACGATACCCGGTTCGCCCGACTGCAGTACCTCAAGCGTGCCATAAACAGAAAACACTCTACGAACCAGTACGTTCCCCCGGACCCGACTAGAGAGAACAAGGGTGACAGGTCTTCAGGCGAGTTTGTGTGTTTGGCTTGACCGTAAAAGACGGAGAAAGCGAGGGTAGCTCATCTGCTTATATACAGTTCGGAGACCGGCCATCAATGACCTTGGGAATTAGCTCGAAAGTCACGGAAATATGGACCAATAGGGAGCAACCATGGTGGTATGAGGTGAATCTTTGGAGGTGGAAAAATAAGGAATTTCGAATTTCATACAAATAAATGGAAATATAGGGAAAAGTAGGGAGAAATAGTCACTTTTAGCGTGAAAAGTAGGATCTTCATATCACCCCCCCCTTTTGGGAGTGCTTGGCTTCACGGGGACGTCGATATGAAGGTTCTCATCTGCTAGATGCGGCCGGAGTAGTTTTCCATGGCGGACCCAGGTGTCGCCATCAACGTTGATCTCAGGCGGATCGGAGGGACCGCATTGGGAGATGGAACCTTTTGTTGGAACAGATGGGACGTCCCGTTGTTTGCGATCGTATGTGTCAGTGTCGTTGTTCTTCTCTCCCCCACGGAAAAGACGCTCGCGCGTGCGGGTGGACTGTGTAGATTTGTTCATGGGTTGACGGCTGACAGGCTTTTGGTGAACCGTTGGCGCATCTAAGGCGCGGCAAACGTCGTTGATCGACAGCTCGTCCTGTCCGAGCTCCTCGAGCCAGTCAAGGCCAATAAGGTTGAAACCCGAACGGTTCACGTAGTAGGTGGGTTGAATCGCGGCTTGTGGACACGACACGCGGCAGTGCAGTTGCCCGGTTAACTGCACGGCACCACCGCAGGCACTCATCGCAGACAACGACAAGGGTTTGATGGCTGGCGAACCAAACGCTCGCCAGGTGTCTTCCGAAATCACGTTTACATCGGGGGCGGTATCCAATTGTAACCGTGCGGGACAGTCATTGATGTTAACTGTGACGTATCTCCGGCAGTCAATTTGATTGACGCCGAACGAGTCCTTCAGACCGTAGGAGTGAACGCCAGAGTCACTCTTGGGTTGGCTGGTGGAGGGCTTTGGTCGTTTGTTTTTGTCTTTGGTGGCCAGTTGTGTGGCACCATCGGCAACGGTGCCCACGGAATGGACAGTATCGGTGGAAATGCCAAGCCCCACAATGGCGACATGGGGATGACGGCTTGTTGGCGCTGGTTGCGGGACTGCTGGGTTGAGAACGATCGACAGTTGATCGTTGCGGCACGCATACTGCGTCGACCACTCGGCTGGTGCGATCGACTTGCTGGATAAGGGCCGTTTCAAGGCATTGTTGTAGTCGAGGCTACACACACAGCATACTGTGCCATGTGTATCTAAGATTTGTCAAATTGAATTTACCAGTTGGGCAAGGGTATCTCCAGCGAATGCGGTTGAAATAAACAAATTGCCTGTGATCTTATCCTTCAGTGTTAAGAATAATGTTATTAAGGATACAAGTTTCAAAAATTGGAGGACTCATTCTTCTATCTGTTATCATTCTTTCGTTCGTTTTTTCGAAGTTGTACTTAACCATTCGTTTAATATTCATCCTAATTCTGTGCGCATGTGTGTTGCCACCGTGACAGCCAATGACCTCAGCAACTGTGTTCAGTGTAAAGTTCAACTCGGTAAAGCGCACTGTAGATTCTGCATTGGTGTATATATCAGAATGAGAAAACTACCGGTAGTTTACGATAATGCTATCATCGTTCATAGAGGAGGAGACCAAAAAAATACTTCAAGATTCTCACTTTGGCACCACAGTTTCACTGTTTCTATTCGTTTTCTCGGTCTCTCTCTTTTCCTCTCTCTGTCGCCGATGCCTGCGTGTTTCAGTCGCAAACCGACCGGTCTGAAATCTAAATGTGCTACTAAAACCGGCGAATTACGCGCTGCTGTACGTTCTCGAACCACAAAAACCAAACGACCTCGTCACGAGTCAGGCAGTTCGACGGACGTGCATGGCACCACCACCCTCACTCATGACGGTAACGCGAGTGATGTGGATTTGGACGACTCGGCGGAACGAAGCGGTGATGATGACGACGACGAGGAGGAGGAGGAACCTGAGGAAGGAAGTCGTTTGGACGGCACGAACGTCGATGGAGACAAACTGAGTGGGAAACATACGGGAAAATCGGGTAAAG